TGAGATTTGTGTTTATTTGCTCGTCTAGAGTGTTCACAAGAAGATTGATACCTACAAATCGCTCTCCGGGAAGGTTCTGCCTTGAAAAGACTGAGCTGGCCAAGTTAGACGATGCCAATTGACTCCAAACGATATGACTGGGCCGAAGCAGCTTAGAAGCCAGATGGGACTGCGCACGATCCGTCCAATACGGTGAACGTCACTGAAGCCGCTTCTGACCTGTACTGCTCCAGCCAAGAGACCTTCGCGATCAGAGGTCTTCTAAAAGAATTAGGAGCCCGGCAGAGGCCGCCATGCAATGTTCAGGTCCTCCTAGACCTCCTAGACCTCCTGCCATCAGTATTCCTCTGATTATAGCCCATGGACAGGGTTCGAGGTTCTGCCATAATCGCTGGCACGTTGCTGGCACATCCGAACTGCGGGTAGCGGGCATCGTTGGGGACCATTGCCGAGAACGAAGAAGCTTAGCCACCTTGGATATGCGTGTAAGAAGGAGGGCCAAGGCCTTAGTTTATGGAGAGTAGCGAGTTTTGGCGAAGATGTGATTCAAGATCAGTGATCCAGTCTATGTAAATGATTATGATGAGGGTCGACACTCATTACTTCCAATGCTTGGTCGAGCAGACTGTTGATTGTCTTTGGAACAAGTAGAAAGAGCCGCCATGAGCAGAAGAACAGGCCTTCCCTATAATTGTAGAGCTAAGTGACATTTCACCCAAGTAGTATTCGACCGCCTGTTGAGTCCGAGCCCCCCTGCTTCTCATTTCTTGAATCAAGACCGCATATGCCTCAGAATATAATAGATCGTGACCAATCCAGAAAGTGACTCAAGTGTCGACCATGAGTTTCGAACCCCGAACCCTCAAAAAAATTCGCCATAAAAAGATGATGGACGGGGCTGGACGTGTTGATCGTCCGCACTCGAACTGAATCTTGTGACCTTCACCGTTGGCTAAGCCCCGCCCGTGGAAAGATTTGCCTATTGAGATATATATGGCAAACCTTGCGAATGAGCTCGAGTTATCAGTAGCCACTGAGGGTCATTTCGCTGCAGCTACTTTGTCTAAACTTGATCCGCGATAGCATGAAAGTGGAATCAATAAAGATTCGTGTAAGACTGGAAGTAGCTTCCTCTCCCTTGATATTTTCATCCTGAGATTCCAGCCTCTTACGCGCTCATACCGCGCAATTGCGAAGGACGATCCCTTGTCTACACGCTAATTTGTCTACATCTTATTGACCATTGGCGCACACTCTGTCACCACCATCACGAATTATGAAGTGCATAGTAGCTGCGGCATTTACGATCCGCAAAGGTCAAGTACTGGGTTCCAGGGACTTGGGTTGGCCAAAGCCTAATGTGGTGGATTTTGCAGGACTAGCAAGCCAAGGCAAGGCTACTAAAACCATTTTCGCGTGATAGCTGATGCGTTTGACGGCAGTATGCGTGACAAGACTTCAAAAAGGCGACAAGAAACGGACAGACGTAGATCATGAAAAGAAAGTATGAAAAGTCTCTTGATTCGATCCACCGTTTGTCACAGCCACATAGGGTACATTAATATGTTCACTGGTTCAAATCGTACAGAGACGAAAGCTCAATTAGATCGCTATCTCCTTAAACCTTTGTCTCGAGCCCGGCTACCTATCTTCATTCTACACAAATGTATTCAGCCGGACCGTTTCTCTCGTGAGGGAGACGTTAGGATATCTTAGCGGCATTGAGGCCACATGGCACATGCGTATCCCACTATATGGTAAACTAGGTCTTCTCGAAATCTACTGGATGACCACATCCGTAATAGACTTCTCCACGATCACATTCAGTCTTTTTGGACGACGTGACCGTGAGCTTTGAGTAAGAAACATGATTGGACTCGCTGTAATTGCCTTGACTTTGAGAAGTGCTATAGAGTCAGCTCTACATACCGATCGGCAAGATACGTTTGACTCTTGGCACAGTCAGACAGAGAGACAAACAAGATGGCCAATTAGAACTAGTACCATAGCAGAATCGTCATGTCTGCTATGAAGGCAAAGGCCAGCTTGGGCTGAACTTAGTCTCAATCTAGGATACCAAATCTTTGAAGCCGCTCAAGCATGGCAGACAAATACTAGAACTTTCGAAGCGTGATTGATAGGAAAACCCAGGACGGCGCAGGCCACTAATAATCGCGCGATGGTCAAGCGCCCTTCATTATAGAAGTACTTTCGTAGTGCGGGACTTCTTCAGACCTTCATGTCGAATTCTGTAGAACTTCAGGCCCCTAGAATCGGCAGCGAGTCCTTCAGATGTTCCCTTCATCAATGGTATAAATATATTGCGCCTGCTGAGGCATAACAGTCGGTGCGTAATCTTCCAATCAGTCACTAGCCTCCGCGGGAGATAACGTTCAGGGATTGGCTGTTGTCCGGGCGTCTGGGCGCTGCTTTGCCGCAAAACTAGGGGTCGATTTTTTCCTCTCGGTCTTGAGCACTTAAAACAACAGCTGTAAGTAAGGTGTTCACCTGCCTCAACCTTGCTGTAGCAGGAAAGGGCGTCAAAGGAAGAAGACGAGGTTTCTAAAGTGGGTAGCTGGGCCCGCTCAACACATTTCAATGCACCTGGGACTCACTCGCGCTATGCTGGACGTGGCAGCGATAGGTGCTGGAATGACGCATTACCGCTGTGTCACTGCTCAGTTCAATGGGGGGGATTATATTCCCATAGTGCAGTTGAATATGTCAGGGTTAAAACGCAGGTACAAGCTCACAGACATTGACTATCAAATATTGCAGGGCAAATTGAGCTTGATTGCAACCTACAACACATGAAATATAGTCGCCTGTCCGGCTGATTATATTCCGTCATTACTCGAATAAATAAATACAAGACAGGGACGCTTCATCTCTACGTGACTTGACTAAGTCGCGACCGGAAAAAAGCTATCACCAACGCTCAATTGGCGTCTAGGAATTTATTCCTGCTCCATCTGACATGCTTTTCTTCCTCTATACCCATAAGATCTAGCTCACTTTTCATCTTTTGGATGGCAGAGAACAGATCTTGCGGGCTCAAAGATCCAGGAATGACTAAGTGTCGCCCCGGAATACTTTCAACGGGGATTCCACCGTCATCGCAAGGAGAGTAACACTCCTGACCACGGAACTCGGTGACTTGAAAGTGCGTAACGCCACGAAGCTTCATTGCCATGGTCTCCGCTGCCGATTCAATACATCGCTGAATTGCATCGCCAGTGAAACCATCCGCTTGAGTGGCGGCTCCAATAACATGCTCTCGCGAAAGACTGTGTGGGAATCTGCCAAGTACGATCCAGAAGATCTCGCGTCGCTCCTTCTCCAAAGGCAGCCCAACATGGACGTGCTTTGGAAAGCGGCGAACGAAGCCAACGTCAAGCGTCCATGGCAGATTCGTTGTCCCTATCACCACAACCTTAGGATACTTTGTCATGCAAGCTAGCAGCTCATTGATCATGCGTTGAGCTCCGTCGTTGCTACCCGATCTCCGAGCCCTGCAGATCGCGTCGGCCTCGTCAAAGACGATTACCGAAGGAGCATTTGAAGCCGCAATCTCGAACAAAGCTCTTGCATTTTTCTCCGAGCTGCCTACCCACTTGTCAACGAGATGGCTGCTGCTTACATTGTAGACAGGGAGTTTGCTCTCCGCCGCAAGAGCCAAAGCCAAAGTTGACTTGCCGGTACCCGGTGACCCATGGAACAGCATGTTCTTACAGCCATAACCCTCGTTCAGAAGATGCGGCCACTGGGGCGGAATATAGGCAGCAGCTTCTATGGCAGCCTTTGCAGCCTCGCAACCAGCTATCTTGTCCAAGGTCTTGACAGTTTTTGGATCCACAATGAGCCCTTCGATCATCGATTTCGTCTCGGCGGGTATCCATGAGAGGCTCGGGGCATTAGAAGGGGAAACCGGAGAGTTCCTGGGATGGAATCTCAGTAGGGGCGTAAGAATTTAAATTGGCTGGCCTACCCTTGAAGTTCAGGTGTAGAGCTCCGCAACAGCTGCACAAGCTCGTCAAATTGTTCTTCGTACCTCGGGAAATACTGACGTGCCTTGTCTAGATACTTCGATCGTTCACCTAAAGAGTGTGTCGGTGTGTATACAATCAAGGGATTCTGCGGGACTTACACACGACGCACATGAGCATAATGTAGTCAAGATGTAGTCTTGACAAGCTCTTGTGTAGCGCAGGCATTTGCCGTGCAGTAACTCGATCTATGACTAGCTCAAGCGTTCGGACAGTTCTCAGCACTCCGTGTCTGTTGGAAGCCTTGTTGCTTGGCCCTGGGGCTTCACCAGACGGATATCTAGATTCCCACAGTTCTCGGGCATCAGGCTTTCGGACCTAGGCTACAATCAGTCGGGTAGCAGGGTTGGGAAGCTGGGAGGCAAACCTCGAACCATGCCTTGTGCATGTCGGCAAGTCTTCGGTCAACGAATGCCTCTTCCGAGAAGATCGTCCACAAGTCACGCGCATACCTCTGCTTGGAGAAGCCAGCACTAACATCGAGTGGCTGACTTGGTAGCACGAGTGTCAAGTCCTCGACCACATCATAAGGGACTAGGTCAGGCAATTGCACTTCTTTGCTTGACATGCTGCTAGCCTGCCCAAGTTGACTCGTACTCTCGAAGCTATGCAATGGTTTCTTAGCTTGATTGCCTTCGTCAGATTGCTCACCTCTTCTTCTTTTTTCTGGCAGAGTCATTTTATGAGGCCTGACGATGGTTTTGGGTGATGATGCAAATCTTTGCGTGACTGGGTTTCTGGCATCGAGGTGTCAAGTGGCAAATTTAGAGCACGCGCTAATGGAAGATCATTCTCTTACGCTTTGCAAATACTCTTCTCCGCCCTCTGAACAATCGTCATCATAATTATCATCATCTTAAGTCTCGTAGAATATCCAATTGAGCATAATCTACATATTGAAGACTTGACGATACACATATATCAGACATTCAAATCGTGAGTCAACTCCGCAAGATGTCCAATAATTACTTGTCTCTAGATTGGCGGAATGGACCTCCTCCAAAGGAGATTGTTCATCGCCTCGAGCAGGTCTTTACAGATGTTGATGATGAGACCAAGTCTGGGACGACTTTACGCCTAAGTCAGTCTACAGCAAAGAAAGCATACTCTGTGGTGGAGAAGAATGGCCATCCCATCGTGATGCGCCATGACAATTCAGTACGTTTCTCATCTTGTTTGATTGACGCTATAGAGGCTTTGTCTCCGTACTCGTCCAGAGTTGACCTGGTAATAGAGCCACAAAGCATACAATGGTCAAGTTAAGTTCTGGAGTGAGGCATATACTATAGCTGTTTCGCTAGTGGATATGCAGGCACAGGAGCAAATGCTCAAGATCAGATTCATCCAGTACAGAGAGGTAGGCTGTCGCTCTTCTGACCCCTCGACGTTACTCCATAGCCACTTGGTCTTCCGCTTTGTAAGATCACACAACTAAAAATGTACTACAGGTGTTCCCAAACACTTCGATGACATTGGATCAAGGAAAGAGAATACTTACCAATCTTGCTTTGACCATTAAAGTGCACCCTCTTGCGCTCGGCGTTCTTGCAGAAGACCGAGGCGAGTCTTATCTTCTAGAAGGCACCTTGATGATGCAACAGTAGTATCCAATATCATTGCTTACCACAAGGCCGATGGGTCGGCTGAGTTTGCTAAGAGGAAAACTTTCAAGATGAGCAGGGTTCTTCGACGAGCATTCCTCAGCTGGTGGAGAGGTTGAAGGTTGGGATCCAGAACAAGCGCAGCGTTCGCGCAGTGATCACCACCGGGCATGCCAATTTGAGTAGCCTGCTTATGGATGATCAATTTGATGTGAACAACTGCATTGGGATAACCCTCTCGGGTTACCCTGGGTATTCCACTTGCGAGTGGAATCACATGCTATCCATAGATCACTTGCTTCAGCATCTCCCCTGGCTTATGCTTATTGATCACGATTTCCAGGGCTTCCATATCTTTTCCAAAGTGAAATATGGCTGTCGAAGCAGCGCCTGGGTGAGCGAGATTTCGGTTTGCTCGCTGCTTCAAAGCATCGGCCCCTTCAGAGATGATCTTACGCAGTCACCTGCTTTGCACCGTCCTGATTGGGAAGCTCAGTACAGAGCCGATTATCCTCGAAAGGATGATAGCGCTGTGGCCAAAACTGCCGACGAATGGGAGGCTCGGTGTGATCGAAAAATTATGCGGAAGTTTACTGCTGCCTCCGCGGCGGATAAATCACTGTATAAGTCTTTCGAGCGGACCGGATGGCTGCAATACGAGCCTGGCCTAAAAGAGGAGCTGAGGACAATGCTCAAACAGCCAAGCGTAAGTGTTGTCGTTGATCGAGTCACAATGTGTGCTACGCTAACACTTGTACAGAAATTTCGCCTAGCCGATCTGACCCAAGTCAGCACTCGCTACTTGCAGACTTTTCTCGAGACGAAGATCGAGGAGAAAAGTCCCGCGAAGACAGCGAAAGCGGCCGTTAAAGTGGAGGTTCGGGTCCCGGCGCGACGCTCTCCAGTTGGAGAAAGGTTCAAGCAAATTCCTAGTCAGATCCAGGACTCGGGCTCTGTGTCGTTGGCGAAGGCGGCGGTTGAAGATATTGCTTCAGCCGAGCCTGAGCTGACAGAAACTCAGCTTGAAGCGCTTGTGAGCGATCCCGTTGCCGACATGATATGATCTCTTGGACAATGTTCTTGGAGATCTCACGTCTGAAGCATTCGTTGTTCATGTGCTGGCATCAAAGGTCAATGCACCTATGCCGAAAGTCCTGTTCTTGTACATTGTATATAGCTGTTTCAATTGCAATGAAATCAGACCATTCTTAATGTGCACCGTGAAAGATGTAATCAGGATAAGACCATCAAGATATATACCCAACAGGAAATTCGTTAAGGTTTCGTAGCGGGAAAAGTTAAGAATGAAAGTAGAAAAGACTACCTAGATAGCATAGAGACGCGAAGAGATTCCATCCTGAACTATCTACTTATATCTATCTCTTAGCCCTAACGATAGGGCGCAGCCGCTTTGCAGCGCAAAACGACCCGGATAGTCTTCCGATTAGTTCGATTAGACATCCCGAGGCCCAGGCGTTAGCCGTCTGGCGAAGCGGTCTGCAGTGCGAATCGGCCCAGCTCCACTGCATACTACGAAGAATCGGAGGAGTGCATTTTATGGCCCCAAACGAGGGCATTCCAACGCGCCGCTCGCGAAGGAAACTCGTTCAGATTCCGTGGGGAAAGAAATCGGGAAAGAAAGCAAGAAAGACGAGACAGCATAGAGAGAGGTTTGCCCTTGGCTATCCACCCGTCTCTACCTCTTTCCCTCGACCCTCGACCCTATATAATATAGATACAGGAAAGAAAGGGTAAAGTTTACCGCTGATTTCACATTAGGAATTCAACATCGTGGGACAATGTTCGGGTTCGATCGAGTTGGTATTGGGGGAGATTATAGCGTACGAAGTGTGGGAGGCAGCTTAGGGACAGCTAGATGCCTTGGGTGACATAACGTCAGAAGCACCGCATGCAGTCGGGTCAGGCTTTTATAGGGTGATAGAAGCTCGTTGCCCCTCTACCTGATTTCTTATCAAGAGGAGAAACGATTACACGAAAGAGGTTACTGACCTTAGCTGTACAGGCGGTTTATAATCTTAGATATTCATCTGGTTAGCTTATAGCAAGCAGTCTAAGCAGTCAGCAATCAATCAATCAATTAATGTTATAGTTACATGTCAGGTATAGGCAGGTAGCTTGCAGTCAGATGTATCCATCTCATTGTAGTAGTCCTATCCGATGCTGCCGTAGCAGCAGCAGCCAGCTCCATCTCTCTGCATGCCCTCATACATACAGTCACCCCCGTAGGGCACAGACACAACGCTCCAGCAGCCACAGAGCAGACAGCACGCACCTCACACCCCACATATCCGCACACCGTACCCAGCACCCAACACCCAGCCGGGGGCTGTATGCAGGCTCCACCCCCTCCTTACACCGCATCCTCCCTCGCTGATAGCTCTAAGACAAGATCGCTAGGCGCACAGTAGAATCAGGCTCCGCGAGTCTGGAAAGGGGTAAATGCATTGGCGGCCGCCCTCCTCCGACTGCTCGCAGTTATCCCGGCATCATTCGTCTATACACTCCCCTAGACTGCAGCAAGCAAGGGTCTGATATAGCTGTCGACCTACTTTTGAGTTATCCCTCATACTGTGGTAGGTAGTTAATATCCTTATACTTGCAGGCAGTCTTCGAAGAGTTGTAGTTGCTCGCGAGGGAAGTGAACCCCAGAGGGAACTCCTTGCTGATGCGTCGGGTGAGGCGATTATGCGAATCGCGGCTTCCATACATGGCGCTTGCTCGGACTACACTCAGTCCCGAGTAGCGCCAGATTCCTAGTAGAATTCGGACTGGCTTCTGACGGCGTTCCTAAGAAGTGGCGGGCTTGGGGGCGTAAGTCGGGCGACCGCCTGCTGCAGCAACCGGAGGCGGAGTGCTGGGGCGATTAGTGTTGCGTGCGGTTGAGGGACCAGGTGGCGTTCGGATCAGTGTCCTCGTAGCCACGAGGGTGGTAGTCAGGCCAGTCATCTTCAGAACGATTGCATATAAAGCCTCTTCCCTCCGCACCACTGCCTATAGCGTTTATGTCAGAATCGTTATCCTAGGCAAATGGATTCTTCTAGGTTTCATCTCCACGTGCGGCGCGTGCAGTGTCGTACTCGTCTTCAGTATCCTCGACGGTGATATAGTAACTGCTGTTCACTGCATCCGGCCCCCAGTCAGCAATCAAGATTCTTATCAGCGGTCAGAGCTACTCACATTTGCCCTTCTCGTTTATACCCGTCTCGAACGCGTGCGGCGAGCCAGGATCCGCAAAGAGATTCCAGGTCTGCTCGCTCGTTTGCTTTCAGCAGCTTGCAGTGCAAGCTGTCCAGGTCCATCCAGCTTCTCGAGAATCTCCTTAACCTTGTTCACCTGCTACCACGTTGGAACTTTAGAGCCCTAAATGTAAGCATTGCGTCTGCTCTTCGAAGTACCTTCCCGGGCCATTGATTGGAGTAAAGGACGCCATAGTTATAGGTGACAGCGAGGGAGACTGCTTGCAGCCGATTGTAATGATGATAGTGATGAAGATAGTAAGGGATGAGTTAATTAGGGCTAGGCGCTTGCTAGATATACTACGTATCTAGCGTGTAGGTAAGTTCGTGCTTGACAAACGATCATCCCTTTCCCTGTGTTCGGTAGGTACACGCTAGCAGGGATCAAATATAGGGCTTATCATTGGTCACATCTGGCTTGCCGCGGCCTGAGTAAGCAAGTCCTTGAGCCGCAGTGAGCCGCAGTGATTGGACAAATGATACTCCTCACATTCAACCCCTGCTAGCGTGTACTTATTGAGCACAGGGAAAGGGATAGGGTACGGTAGTCGTAATGCTAATGCAGGTAGCGGCAGTTAAAAGGATTCTTAGTTAATTGTAATCTATAATCTACGTAGATCCTTCTATTCAGGACTTACGTGTTTTAGCACATTCACGGCGGTCTTCATATTTACCGTATATCGCAGTATATGCTTCCTTTTCTGTTATCAATGTCTTCGCGACACACCATTAAAAGACTTGGTCTAACACGGTCCACACATCAGATCGCGCTCGCAACAGGCCGTATTTTCTAATGCCGGTGCTGATAACAAGCCTTCTTAGCGGGCACGTTGGAGCCTCGCGGAGAATTGCGACATGGTTCGAAGGATTTCAATTGTTTCGGTTCGAAGGATTTCAATTGCTCTGGTTCGAAGGATTTCAGTTGCGCTGGCTCGAAGGATTTCAATTGCTCCGGCTCGGAGCTAAGCTGTCCCAACCAGGCCGAGAGGTCTGAGCTACATGGATACGCTGACTAGCTACATCCCTGACGATCTGCGCGTTAGCGGTTCGGATAGTCGGCATCAACGAGCGTGTGCAATGCACCGGTCGATAAAACACCTGCAGCAAGGCAAGTGTTTCGTGCATGCGGTTGGCACAATCCACGTGGCTTTAAGGCGGAGATGGTGCTACTGTCGGTCAGATTTCATGCTTTTCTCTGTCGAACGCATTGCTATTTGAAAGCAAACCCGGCACGGTGGGCAGACATCTAGATCTGTTGAAATTCGGATCACGTGACTCTTGGCGTCTTGGCGGTCACGTGACATGGTCACGTGACACGCCTTAGCGTGTCCGTATCTAGTCGCTCTTTCCTTTATAGTAACTCTATAGTTAACAACTAAGTGTCTTACCTCATATTTTCATAGGTTATAAGCCCGGGCTCTACCCGGTAACTATTACATTATAACTACTATTCGCCTCTATAACTGCGGCTGCCCTTAGGCTTTTAGCATCTATCTTACGATGTCTAAAGTCTATTATATAAAGGCAGCAGTAGCTATAGAGGTATTCTTTTAATCTTCTCGATAAAGGTATTTCCCCCTCTCAAAATAGTTGTGAGTTTGAGCGAATATAATTCGCTAATAATATAAGGGGTTGAGAGTTACTTTCGCTCTTATTCTAAGCGAGCCGAGATATATCGCCTCTAGCCGAAGTATCGAACTCGCTAAATATATCAAGTATATAATCATATCGCTATACAACTAAGTTATATCGCTAAGACTCTTAAATCTTATTAGCTTTCGCTAAGTTAGAATACTTAACTCTATTAAAAGTAAAGTTATTTTATATTAATATTAAGTTTAAAACCATATGTTAACTATCGAATTAATAGTTATTAACTAAAAGTGGCTGGATGCCAGTATTAATAGTCTAACCGCAGTTTAAAGCATTTTAGAGCTGGCACTACTATCTCTTAATACGCTTATAAGCCTGCTAAGATTAAAATAATAAGAATATCTTATTAATATTAGCTTCTAGGCCTCCAGAAGCCCCTTAAAGAAGGGGGCTAAGACTCTATTATCGAATTCTTTTTCCGCGATCGTTTGTATTCTACTATCATAATTATAAAGCCAGAACAATCTTCGAAGTCTTACGGTAGCAGCCAGCGACGTAAATATCCTAGATCTAAGTCCCTAAATGAGCAGTATAAGAAGGGTGCTAATCCCTCTTTAAGAAGGAGATCCACACGTTTATAATAACTATATTCCGTATAATTCTATTAGAAACCAGCCTACGTTTATAAGTCATTTTTATTACTAAGTACCTTTTATTTCAACCAAATCGCCTATATCTATCGTAGCTCTACGTATAAGCACTTTTTATTTCTTATATAAGAACTCGAAGCTTAAAGGCGACAGTTGACTAATATTAATAAGATCTTTAAAAACTCTAATGACGATTAGAGTACCTATTCTACTCTCGCTACTTTACCGAACGATAGTCTTATCGACCCCGAATTCGAAGCCAGCGAAGACACTCTTAGCTCTATAAGCGATACTAAGCTATTCGACCTTCGTGCTAAAGAGCCTATTTTACCCGCTTCGAAGTTATTCTTAAAGTCTTTCTCTAACTCTACTATCTCGCCTAAAATAGTAGCTAAATTATCGTTATTATCGCCACCATCGCCCTCTCTATTAACATCCTATATATCATTATCTAGACTATTCTTTCGCGACGATAAATTTAAATAATTAGTTATAGCGCGCTGCGGTTAATACTCTTAATTAGTCTTAGTTTAGCGAGAGTAGTTTCCCTCTAACCTTTATCG